ATGTACACTCTGCAGCAATGACCCAGTGTTTTGCCAAGCAGAGGATGCAAACTAAGTCACCAATTTATTGAGCACATAATCAAATTTGTTTATTGAATAAAAAGAAAAAAATATATAAATATATATTTAAATACAAAAAAAAAGGATCCAAATACATTTAGCTGCAATAAGTGTACAAAAACGAATACATCACCGATTAATGTAGAAAACCAACATCCAGGCCTGCACTCCATTTCTGCCTTTTAACAGCAGTCTAATCGGGAAAGTCATCCACGATGTGTCCATCCACAGATGAGACTTCTGGCTTGTATAGGTTTTAGGAACCCAGCTGACATAACTAGTTGTGGCTGTATATCCTCCTGAATATGGGTTACTACCGCCTAGATCGCCCCTTCCATAAGTGATCAGCTCCAGAGTGATTATAGCTTCTTGCACAGGTTAACACTAGAGACTTAGTGAAGGGTGAAGAAGACTGGATTTATTATGGCCAGATGGCCCACTTATATACACAGCAAGAGTACAGTCAACCATACCCAGAACCATAGGCGTGCGCAGCCTATTGCATTAGGGTGTGCACCCTAAAGCACAAACATACGCCGCGTGTGTGTGTGTGTGTATATATATATATATATATATATATACACACATATATACACACATATATATATATATATATATATATACATATATATATTCACAGACACACACACTCACAGACACACTGACACACACACACACACACACACACTCACTGACACACACACACTGACACATACTCACACACTCACTGACACACACACTCACAGACACATACTCACACTGACACACACTCACAGACACACACTCACACACTCACAGATACACACTGACACATACTCACACACTCACTGACACACACACTCACAGACACATACTCACACATTTACACACAATCACAGACACACACTCACACACTCACAGACACACACTGACACACACACACTCACAGACACATACTCACATACTCACACACTCACTGACACACACACACACACACACACACTCACTGACACACACTGACACATACTCACACACTCACTGACACACACTCACACTCACAGACACACACACTCACACATACTCACACACACACTGACACACACACACACACACACACAAATTATTATATTTAATTTTTTTTTTTTAAATGTCCACCCAGCCTCCTACCTGGAGTGCTGGTGGACTTGTTCCTGGGGTCCAGTGGGGGCGGGCGCCTTTCTCCAGCTCAGCCGCGGCGAGGGAGCTCTCTGCTGTCTGCTCTCTGCTCCCTCTCGCCGCGCGGGCTGTCTGCTGGAGCTGGGAGCCGGAATATGACGTCATATTCCGGCTCCCGGCATCAGCGCGCGGCGAGAGGAAGCAGAGAGCAGAGAGCTCCCTCGCCGCGGCTGAGCTGCAGGGTGGGGGGGGGGAATCATCACCTCTTGCCCTCCCATGACAGGGGCAAGAGGTGAGACAGGGGACACTGAGTGCCTGCAGGAACAGCGTTCCTGCTCAAAAAAAGTGCAGGAACGCTGTTCCTGCAGGACTCAAACCATAGGGGTGCGCACGGGGATTAGGGTGTGCCCAGGCACACCCGGCACACCCCGTGCGCACGCCTATGCCCAGAACACTCCCACAACATGCCCATGAATTTCTTGTGTCGGCATGACTAAGCATAAAAATACAAAACATCAAAAACACACATAAAACACATAGGAACCCCCACATTCCATACATACATCCCCAGAAAGGTCTTCCTGGAGCGCCCATTGTGTCCGAAAAGCGATATCGCATCGGATATTGCTAGCCCGAATTAGGGGTAAGTTCAAAGTTCAGCGGGACGTGGCTAGCCCCCGATCCGGCACAGAGTTCCAGCAGGTTGAATAAGATTTCCCGGTCATGCCCACTATACCACAGCGACTAGGGAAGGCTGTTAGCGAGACGCCGATTGGATGTCCTGTAACACTAGTGTATGTAAGTAACATGCACAGATTATACATCGAGTGTGAAGAATCCTAAATACACAGGAGGTCAGCCCCCATCTCCCCAGGAATGTTGGCCAGACGCCCAGAGGGTCCAAGTCCTGTTATGATAAGACATCTGATCCCATCTGAAATACTTGTTTGGAATTCTATCCCATCTGGAAGAGTTTGTAACTCTGGGAAGTATGCCTGGATTCAGGATACTATAGTTCATAAGTAAATTGCTTACTATAGTTCTTAGCTAAATGATTTTAAAAAGCAATACAAGTTGTTTTGGGGACTATAGAGTCCCTTTAATCACGTACACAACATGAAGCAAACACAAGGCATCCCATACTTCACTTGTAGTTCATGTCCTTTTTCTAGTGTCAGCTATGGCTTACGCCCAGTAACGTCGCTGGTGTAACCAAAAAATGAGGGGAAGTTCTAAACGTGGAACAATCACTATGGACAGCAAAAGGATATAACTTTTCATTACATACGTTTCTGTGATCATTATTCCTGTTAATAAATGAATAAACAATAACGTGTCCTTGTCCCGGGGATAGACAACCTTTGGCACTCCAAATGCTTTGACAGAATTATGGCGTTAAGAGCATAATGGGAGATGTAATCCTCAACATCTGGAGTGCCGAAGGTTGCCTACATCAACCTTACACCATTTCAATTCCAGCCTGTAACCCAACAAACTAGAGAAAAATAGGTATTAATGCGTACTAGCTCCCACAATATTCTCCAAGTTCCTTTTAATTCATCGATTTACCCCAAACCCTGCTCTAAAAAATCTCCAGAGGTATTCACATACTTGGAATTGTGGAAAATTGGCATGGGAATAGCAAATACTAAGAAAAATAGCTATTCTCTGGGAAAAAAATGAATGAAAGAAAGTTCTTCCAATTTGGTTAATTTGGTCATAGATTTGCAAATCTCTTATTAGTTTCCCACATTCCTATTCTTAGTAAAGATTTCCATTTATATGAGTTGTATTGTCTTTAGAGTGTTTGTTTTGGGGATGTCTTTGTTTCTCATGTAATAGGAGTACATTTTAACAAGTTCCACTGAGTTCCTAACAGTCTCAGAATCTCTTCTAATTGACATAAAGAACAAAGGGATTACCTGGAAAGTGTCAGTTAGCCCTAAGGAACAACAAACACAAAAAGATTTAACAAGGCAGACCGAGCTGAAACTGTCCCGGAATTGACTAGAATTTTAATGTCTCAGAAAATGTAATGGAAAAGCTGGTTCCTCTAGAATGTTCATATATTGGTGTAGCAGTTCGGAAATTCCTTTTTAATCTTTCCGCTAACACGTTCCATAGCAATTGCACCACAATTGATTGTTTTGCTACCTCCATTTCCATCCATTGCAACTGTAATGTATGATGCTCCCTTAACGCATGTGCCGCTCTCCCTCACAACCATGGCGGCTCCTTCAGCAGTCCGATTGATGCCTACTGCTGAGCATGTGAGCCCTTTTATACCTCCATATTCACCACCCCTATTTCAGTTGCAAACTTACGTGTGTGTTTCATGTTGATGTTGTGCATACATTTTCAACGTCACATGACTGCTATTGACCAATCAGTGCCCTTCATAGGCTATTTAAATTCAAATGAAATATTTCTCAGTGCCCTTTCGTGGTTTCCCTTGTGGTTTTCCGAGAGTGCATTATATAATTTGATTCTATTGCATTTTGATCCTGTCTTGTGCTTTGACTAGCCACACCTCCCTACATGTGACTTGTACAGCCTTCCTGAACACTTCCTATAATGAGTCATCTAATGTTTATACTTCCTTTATTGTAAATTCTGTTTAATTTAGAATCTTTTATCTCGTACTCTGGTAATAACTTGCTAGACCCTACAGGAGCCTCCTATATATACGATTAAAGTTCAATTTACAGAGCATATTATATATTTTTTTAAAGGCAAGTTCCTATCTGATTGAAAGTGAAACCATTTTGTTTTCATGCATGCTGTGTCAATCACAACCAGGGGAGGTGTGGCCAGAAACAAAAGTGAATTAACATTAATTAAACAGAAACAAAAGTGAATTAACTCCAAAATCACAGTGAATTGAGCAGTGAGACTACAGGGGCATGATCTATACACCAAAACTACTTAATTAAGCTGAAGTTGTTTTGGTTACTATAGTGTCCCTTTAAATCCTGACACTCCTGTATTCAGACTGAATTTCTCCACCAGGTCAGCTTACTCTGTGCTATCATTAGTATGGGATACACTGTGAATCCCATTGCAATCTCCCTGATAAAAGGACTTCGGTCACTCTACCAGTGGATTTGATATTCTTTGAATCCTATTGCAGTATTCACAGAAGATATAACAGCCCTTTTCCCCAACCATTACCAATGGGGTAAAATAGAACACACCTTTATTGAGCACACACCACATACATTTATACTCCTCAGATGTGGATTCACCCTCCAGAGGTTGGTCCATACAATCCATTATAATGCAATCCATTCCCCTTTCCGGCTTCACTTTGTCTGAGCCCCGACTCCACTCTGTCTGGGCTGATAAGTGTTGATGGGATCAGTTCAGAGTAATGTTAATTGATATTTCCCCCCTTCTGTGGCAT